TCATTACTTTCATACAAATAGCCCAACAATAGCTTATTTTCTTTTCTTCCTTTTCTCTCTTTCTTGTTCGGCTTAGACTTCTGTAAGCTTACTATGCTATATGAAGGTGTGTGCTCTCACCTCCTTAAAATAAGCTCTTGGAGAAGCTTGAATATGCTTATATTATATTAATATGTATACTAAAATTGCTGTCATCAAATAGACTTACAAACCAAGCTCTAAAATTTATTATACCCTATCTATAGATATAGATAGATAACATCAATACATATCCATACCAAACCCAGCCAAACTTGTATCTATGAAAATTACTCATAGAAAACTACTCAATCTAGAAATAAGCAATGAAATTGCATAAAATCTACTAACAAAGAACTAAATAGCTCAACTTAGGAAGAATTAAGAATAAACTTCCATATAGATTAAGATACAAATTTCTCTACCTTTAATGCAATTCCATGAAAATTTTCCTTAATCTCCTTCTCTTATTAGTCTTCTTTCCCTCTTTTCTAATTTTTTTTTTTTTTTTTCCGTTTCTTCTTCAACGGCTGAAAACCCCTCTTTTAGTGCTATATCTTCTTTTGTTTTTCTTCCCTCTATTATACACTCTGTGGTTAATTGATAAACCCACCGATTCTTTGTAAGAAACAACTTCTTCTAGAAGGTTTAAAGGAAATATTATATTATCGTTTAGCACAATAAACAAACAGCCTCCCAAATGAACATTAGAATTAAGTCTATCTCATTTATATACATATCCATATGTGTAGGTATGTTGGGTGTGTTGTGCTGGCAGCATACCCAACCTCCATGCAATTATACTACAAGTAGTCAACAAGGCTTTATTTTATCCAATTAAAGTAATAAAATCTATACTTACTTTTAATAGCTAAAACTTTTTGTCAATTACATACAATATAGCTACATAATAAAGTGATTTCTAGGAGCTTCCATATAATCCAGTAATCCAATGCAATAGAAAACTTGGCTGCTACAAGCTTAATTTGTAGGCTTTAAAAAAAATAAAATTTCACAAAACAGCCACCCCACAAAAATAATAATATATAAATCATATCTAATTAAAATAAAATCATGCTAATGAACTTAATTTTGTATCGGGGTCTTACAATTCTCCCCTCGTTAATTAATTTCGTCCTCGAAATTAAAATGTATGAAACATATCGAATAAGTGAGGATATTGCATTCTCATAACGTCTTCACTTTCCCAAGTCGCTTCTTCAATCGTATGACCCCTCCACAATGCCTTTACCAGTGATATAGTTTTATTCTATAGCACTTGCTCCTGGCGATCCAAAATCTGTACCGGTTCCTTGACATAAGTCAAATCTTCCTTTAACTTTATCGGTTCTGCAACTAAAACATGAGATGGATCTGATATATACTTCCAAAGCATAGACACATGGAAAACATCATGCAATCTTGATAATTCTTCTGGTAATTCCAACCGATACGCCACTGCTCCTATTCGTTCCAGAATCTTGTAAGGTCCAATGTATCTGGGACTTAACTTACCATTCTTTCCAAACCTCATAATACCTTTCCAAGGAAAAATACGAAGAAACACAAAATCACCAACTTCAAATTCCAAATCTCTTCTTTTTCGCACATCTACATAACTTTTTTGTCTATCCTGTGCCACTTTCATACGTTGCTAAATTATCTTCACTTTTTCTGTTGTAAGTTCAATTAATTCTAGACCCAATAACTTTCTTTCACCTATTTCACCCCAACACAATGGAGTTCTACATTTTCTCTCATACAAAGCTTCATACGGTGCCATTCCAATAGTAGACTGATAACTATTATTATAGACAAATTCAATCAACGGTAAATAATCATCCCAACTACCTTTGAAATCCAACACACAAGCTCTCAGCATATCTTCCAAAATCTGAATAGTTCGTTCTGACTGCCCATCTGTCTGTGGGTGAAAAGCTGTACTGAACTTTAAAGAAGTTTTCATGGCTTCATGCAAACTATACCAAAATCTCGAAGTGAACTTCGGATCCCTGTCACAAACAATAGAAACTGGAGCCCCATGCAAACATATGATCACATCAACATACAAACGAGCATATTCCTTTGTAGAATAAGTAGTTTTCACTACCAGAAAGTGAGCTGATTTCGTTAATCTATCAACTATCACCCAAATAGAGTCATGTCCCTGTTTTGATCTTGGAAGTCTCGTCACAAAATCCATTGTCACATGTTCCCACTTCCACTGAGGAATTAGCAACGGCTGCAACAACCCCGCTGGTTTTTGATGTTCAGCTTTCACTCGTTGACATACCAAACACTTCGCTACAAATTCTGCAATTTCACGCTTCATATTGTTCCACCAATAGTATTCCTTCAAGTCCCTGTACATTTTAGTACTACCCGGATGCATAGCATATATAGAACTGTGGGCTTCCTCTAAAATATATTTCTTCAAAGAAACATCATTTGGAACACAAATTTGACTTTTAAAATACAAAGTCCCATCGTCCTTAACTGTAAATTCAGTTTGCATACCTTCTTGAGCTTCTCTTCTTTTCTTATTCAGGAATACATCATGAATCTGTAACTCTTTAATTCAATCCAGCAACAAAGGTCTCACCATAATATGTGCAAAGAATGCTCCTTCATTTGTAACTATCAATTCAACTCCCATCAATCTCAAATCCATAATATTTGCCACCCGTGCACACTGTACACAAGATAGTCTCCCTGAAAACTTCCTACTCAAAGCATCTGCTACTACATTGGCTTTTCCAGGATGATGGTGAATATTACAGTCATAATCTTTGATTAACTCCATCCAACGCCTCTGTCTCAAATTTAAGTCCTTCTGTGTAAACAAATACTTCAAATTTCACAAATTTCACAAATTTCACAAATCTGTAAATAATCTGTAAATATTATTTCACAAATTTCACCATACAGATAATGCCTCCACAATTTTAAAGCAAAAACAATAGCAGCTAACTCCAAGTCATGTATAGGATAATTCAATTCATGATTCTTCAATTGTCTAGAAGCATATCCAATTACTTTGCCATTTTGCATCAAAACACATCCCAGACCCTGATGTGAAGCATCAGTGTAAATCACAAAACCTTCACCACCACACGGAATAGTTAACACTGGGGCTGACGTTAACTTTTTCTTCAATTCTTCAAAACTTCTTTGGCATTCCTCACCCCACACAAACTTTACTTCTTTCCGGGTCAACTTTGTTAATGGCAATGCGATACTAGAAAACCCTTGGATGAACCTCCGGTAATAACCTGCTAATCCTAGAAAACTTCTGACTTCTGTCACATTAGTAGGCCTTTCCATTTCACCACTGCTTCCACTTTTGGTGGGTCAACATAAATACCATCCCCAGATACTACATGCCCCAAAAAGACAACTTTATCAAGCTAAAACTCACATTTGCTGAACTTAGCAAAGAGTTGTTTTTCCCGTAAACTCTGTAACACAATTCTTAAATGCTTTTCATGTTCATCCACACTCCGAGAATATATCAAAATATCATCAATGAAGACAATAACAAAAGAATCAACATACAAATGAAATACTCGATTCATTAAATCCATAAACACCGCTGGAGCATTGGTTAACCCAAAAGGCATTACCAAAAACTCATAATGACCATATCGAGTTCAAAAAGCAGTTTTCGAAATATCACTATCCTTTACCTTCAACTAGTGATATCCTGACCTCAAATTAATCTTAGAAAACACCTTTGCCCCATGCAACTGATCAAACAGATCATCAATTCGTGGCAATGGATACTTGTTTCTGATGGTCACTTTATTTAACTGTCTGTAGTCAATACACAACCGCATAGTACCATCCTTCTTCTTAACAAATAACACCGGTGCACCCCACGGTGAAATACTAGGTCGAATGAAGCCTTTAACTAGTAAATCTTACAACTATATCTTCAACTCTTTCAATTCTGTTGGTGCCATTTGATACGGGGCAATAGAAATTGGAGTTGTTCCTGGTACCAACTCAATGGTAAAACCAACCTCCCTGTCCACTGGCAACCCTGGTAATTCTTCTGGAAACACATCTGTGAATTCCCTTACCACTGGTACATTTTCAAGTGTCATATCTTTATTTTCAGTATCAACCACATAAGCCAAGTAACCCTAACACCCTTTCTTCAACAACTTCCTGGTTTGTATAGCTGAAATGAGACAGTTTGGAATAACATTTCTTTCTCCTATAAATCTAAATTCTGGCTCCCCTGGTATTTGAAATACAACTTCTTTCCGAAAATAGTCTATTGAAGCATGATACGCAGACAGCCAATTCATACCCAAAATGATATCAAAATCTGGTATACCCAACGGTATCAAATTTACCTTTAAGTGTCTATCTCCCAATTGTAACACACAGTCCCGGTATTCATTTGCAACCACTACCACTTCTCCCATTGGTGTAGAAATAAACAATTTACTATCTAATGATGAAAGTGGTCTACCCAAATGCATAGCAATAGATGATGCAACAAATGAATGGGTTGAGCCAGGATCAATAAGCACAGTAACATTTCTATCCAAAATAGAAAGTGTACCTGTCACCACTTCTGGTGTTGCTTGAGCATCCTGAAGTGTCATAGCAAACACTCTTCCCTGGGCTTGCGAACCACTTGTAGCACCCTTACCTCCTATTGACGAGTTCCCTTGTGCAAAATCTCTACCAGAACCAGCAACACTGCCCACTGAGGTCACTCCTATCAATATAGGACAATCTCTTTTCCGATGACCCGGCTGATGGCAATGATAGCACTCTTCTGCTTTTAAGATAGGACAATCCTTCTTCTGGTGACCTTCCCTTCCGCACTGAAAACACCCCTTGCCAGTACCACGTCCTCCAAAACTACCTTGTTGTACAGATTGTTGTTCGAAAAGCCCTTGACCTCTTCCAATACTTGATGTCTGGCCTTGAGATTCACCACCCCTTCCCCTTCCATACAGCGACCTTTAACTTTTCTGACTTGAAATTCCTTCACTTCCTCTTGACTGTGACGGCTCAGATCTATTTCTTTTGTATTGTTCCCTTCTTTCTTGCAATTCTTTCACATCCCTTTCGGCAATCATGGCTTTATTCACAAGTCTGTTGTAATCTGTTTCCTCAAACACTGAAACTCTGGACTTAATAGCCACCTCTAAACCATCTTGAAATTTTGTACATTTATCTTCTTCATTCTGTACAAACTTAGGTGCAAACCGAGATAAAGCTGTAAACTTAACTTCATAATCAACTACAGACATTCTATCTTGTTTTCGGAGAATAAACTCCCGTTCCTTCTCTTTTCTGTAAATTGGAGGAAAATATATCTCATAAAAAGTTTTAACAAATGGATTCCATAATATCACCTCTTTCTCTCTTGGAATGAGCAATAAATGTTTTGTCGTGTCCCACCAATAACTAGCTTCATTTTTTAACATAAATGTAGCTAAGTTTACCTTCTGGTCTTCTGCTGCACTCATCACTGCAAATATCGATTCCATTCTTCTTACCCACCCCTCTGCTTCTTCTGGTTTGGTAGTACTTAAAAATTCTGGGGGTGTTAACCTGATAAACCTCTCATAATCTGAGCCTTTCTTCCCTTTCTGTTGTCTTTCCAGCCTTTCTTGTATCATCATTTGACTTGCCATAAATTATTTGTTTTGTTCTGCCAAGTCTATTATAGCCTTTTCCATTTTCTGCATACCAGTTAAGTTCTCATGTTCTCTTCTCATACCACCTTGAATAGGTTGTTCCACTTCAGCCTCAATAGGAACATAAGTGGCTTCACCCTCAGTTCCATGATAACCACTTTCCCTTTCCATTTCTTTTTATCTGCAATGAATCTCAAATATAACAACATATATATGATACATAATCACCACATATATCTGTTAGTATAAAATTAAGTCAAATAAATGACTCTATTACACACTTCTTACTGCCACTGCCAGTCTAGACTCTTATGACCTCCAGAACCTAGAAAACCTAGGCTTTGATACCAAAAATTGACACAACCCAACCCAATTTACACTATTTAAGAAATTAAACAATTTGGAATGTATCTAACCATCTGCATTAACCTCATTCAACATGACATCATCATATATCAGAATACCTGCTTAACAATTTTAATTTAAAACAAACTATAAGCCTGTTATGCAAATTCTGACAAACTAAAGCATTAACGACAAGTTACACCATTAAATTCTACTACAATATTAATATCTTAAACAAAAGACAGTTCATTGTTCCTTTCCCCATTCCCACTCACGATTCTAGACCTGGCAGTAGCAACCCAACCTGATACCTGAAAAAAAATATAAATATGGATGGAATGAGCTTAAAGCCCAGTGAATGCAACACTACTACCTCAGAGTAATATAAACAAATATTATCTGATAACTTCAATTAAACTTCATTAATATATTACAGGCATTAAAATATAGCACTTTCCTTCTAGGCCAGGGTATGGACCATATGTAAATATAGTACTCTCTTTCTTGGCCAGAGTATAGACCTTATTTCATGTAGTGGACCTTATATAATATATTACTCTCCTTCCAGGCCAGAGTATGGACCTTATATAATATACTCAAATTATATATATTCATCTTTAATTCACATAAACAGCTTTAATACTTCAATTAAACACATCCAGGTATAAACTTCCAGTGAGTACACTCACCTTGGCTACTTTTCCAATTATTTATTTTTCCTTCGGTACCGTCGAGGTAGTTCGTTCCATTTCCTTGCCTGAACAATATTATAACCATGCCATATTCATTTCTAAAGAGATATAAATAATACTCTTCATCTCCATAATAAATCTCAAATATTCTGCAATTCTAGACAAAATTTCTAATTATAATATTTAGATTAAATTTCACCCAATGGACTAGAGTTAAACTACAGTCATATTAATTTATGTGAGACCACAATTGAAGCTATATTAAAAGTAGAATAAATGAAATATATGCAAGAATAATTACTTGAACTGAAATTTAAATACGAAACTTCTTATATAGAATTAGAAATACAAATTTCCTCACCTCACTACTTCCATACAAATAGCCCAACAATAGCTTATTTTCTTTTCTTCCTTTTCTCTCTTTCTTGTTCGGCTTAGACTTCTGTAAGCTTACTATGCTATATGAAGGTGTGTGCTCTCACCTCCTTAAAATAAGCTCTTGGAGAAGCTTGAATATGCTTATATTATATTAATATGTATACTAAAATTACTATCATCAAATAGACTTACAAACCCAGCTCTAAAATTTATTATACCCTATCTATAGATATAGATAGATAACATCAATACATATCCATACCAAACCTAGCCAAACTTGTATCTATGAAAACTACTCAATCCAGAAAGAAGCAATGAAATTGCATAAAATATACTAACAAAGAACTAAATAGCTCAACTTATGAAGAATTAAAAATAAACTTCCATATAGATTAAGATATAAATTTCTCTACCTTGAATGCAATTCCATGAAAATTTTCCTTAATCTCCTTCTCTTATTAGTCTTCTTTCCCTCTTTTCTAATTTTTTTTTTCTGTTTCTTCTTCAACGACTGAAAACCCCTCTTTTAGTGTTATTTCTTCTTTTGTTTTTCTTCCCTCTATTATACACTCTGTAGTTAATTGATAAACCCACCGATTGTTTGTAAGAAACAACTTCTTCTAGAAGGTTTAAAGGAAATATTATATTATCGTTTAGCACAATAAACAAACAGCCTCCCAAATAAACATTATAATTAAGTCTATCTCATTTATATACATATCCATACGTGTAGGTATGTTGGGTGTGTTGTGCTGGCAGCATACCCAACCTTCATGCAATTACGCTACAAGTAGTCAACAGGGCTTTATTTTATCCAATTAAAGTAATAAAATCTATACTTACTTTTAATAGCTAAAACTTTTTGTCAATTACATACAATATAGCTACATAATAAAGTGATTTCTAAGAGCTTCAACACAATCCAGTAATCCAATGCAATATAAAACTTGGCTGCTACAAGCTTAATTTGTAAGCTTTAAAAAAAGTAAAACTTCACAAAACAGCTACCCCACAAAAATAATAATATATAAATCATGTCTAATTAAAATAAAATCATGCTAATGAACTTAATTTTGTATCGGGGTCTTACATAAGTGTTTTGAGTTAAACTTATTCGACTTCCCTTTGACGTCCCGAAGTGTATTTTATTGAGTAAGGATTGAATCGTTGATTGAAAACACCTCAATAATGGTACCTATTATGTCACTAGACTATTTTAATGTATAAAGATTGAATCTTTGAAAGAAAATGAGAGTTTGAGTTAAACTTATTCGAGTTACCTAAGACGTCGCGAATAGTATTTTAATGAATAGAGATTGAATCTTTGAATGAAAATACCTCAATAAAGGAACCTTTTATGCCACTAGACCTTTTTAATGTATAAAGATTGAATCTTTTAGCAAAAACATGAGTTTTGAGTTAAACTTATTCGAGTTCCCTTTGACGTCCTGAATAGTGTTTTAATGAGTAAAGACTGAATCTTTGAACGAATGTACCTCAATCAGGGTACCTAGTATGTCAGTAGTCCTTTTTAATGTAAAATGATTGAACCTTTAAAAGAAAATGAGAGTTTTGAGTTTAATTTATTCGAGTTACCTGTGTAGTCTTGAAGAGTGTTTTAATGAATAAAGAATGAATCTTTGAATGTAAATACCTCAGAAAAGGTACCTAGTATGTCACTAGACCTTTTTAATGTATAAAGATTGAATCTTTGAAAGAAAACGAGAGTTTTGAGTTAAACTTATTCGAGTTACCAATAAAGTAGCGAATAGTGTTTTATAGAGTAAAGATTGAATCTTTGAATGAAAATATCTAAATTATGGTACCTTTTATGTCACTAGACCTTTTTAATGTATAAAGATTAAATCTTTGAAAGAAAATGAGGGTTTTGAGTTTAAACTATTCAAGTTACCTATGAAGTCGCGAAGATTGTTTTAATGAGCAAAAATTGAATCTTTGAATGAAAATACGTCAATAAAAGTACCTTTTATGTCACTAAACCTTTTTAATGTATGAAGATTTAATCTTTGAAAAAAAATAAGAATTTTAATTTAAAATTATTCGTGTTGCCTATGAAGTCATGAAGAGTGTTTTAATAAGTATAGATTAAATATTGAAATGGAAATACCTCAATAAAGGTACATTTTATGTCACAAGAACTTTTTAATGTATAAAGATTTAATCTTTGAAGAAAAATGAGAGTTTTTAGTTAAACTTATTCCAGTTCCCTTTGACATCCCGAAGAGTGTTTCAATGAGTAAAGGCTGAATCTTTGAATGAAAATACTCCAATCAATGTTCCTATTATGTCATTAGACCTTTTTAATGTAAAAAGATAGAAGAATCCTGGGATGTCATTCAAGTTACCTAAGAAGTCACGAAGAGTGTTTTAATGAGTAAAGATAGAATCTTTGAATGAATATACCTCAATAAAGGTACTTATTATGTGACTAAACCTTTTTAATGTATTAAGATTAAATCTTTGAAACAAAATGAGAGTTTTGAGTTAAACTTAGTCGAGTTCTCTTTGACGTCCCGAAGAGTGTCTTAATGAGTAAAGTTGAATCTTTGAATGAAAATAACTTAATAGAGGTACTAATTTTGTTACTAGACCTTTTTAATGTATAAATATTGAATCTTTGAAAGAAAATTAGAGTGTTGAGTTAAACATATTCGAGTTAACTAAGAAGTCGTGAATAGTGTTTTAATGAGTAAAAATTGAATCTTTGAATGAAAATACCTCAATCAAGGTACCTAGTATGTCACTAGACCTTTTTTAGTGTATAAAGATTGAATCTTTGAAAGAAAATGAGAGTTTTGAGTTAAACTTATTAGAATTCCCAATAAAGTCGCGAAGAGTGTTTTAACGACAAAAAGATTGAATCTTTGAATGAATATACCTCAATATAGGTGCCTATTATGTGACTAGACCCTTTTAATGTATAAGCATTGAACCATTGACAGAAAATGAGAGTTTTGAGTTAAACTTATTCGAGTTCCCTTTGACGTCCCGAAGAGTGTCTTAATGAGTAAAGATTGAATCTTTGAATGAAAATACCTCAATAAATGTACCTATTTTGTTACTAGACCTTTTTAATGTATAAAGATTGAATCTTTGAATGAAAATTAGAGTGTTGAGTTAAACTTATTCGAGATACTTAAGAAGTCGCGAATAGTGTTTTAATGAGTAAAAATTGAATCCTTGAATGAAAATTCCTCAATAAAGGTTCCTATTATGTCATTAGACATTTTTAACGTATATAGATTGAATCTTTGAAAGAAAATTAGAATTTTGAGTTAAACTTATTTGAGTTCCCTTTGACGTCCCGAAGAATGTTTTATTGAGTAAAGATTGAATCTTTGAATGAAAATGAGAGTTTTGAGTTAAACTTATTCGAGTTCGCTTTGACGCCCCGAAGAATGTTTTATTGAGTAAAGATAGAATCTTTGAATCAAAAAGAGAGTTTTGAGTTAAACTTATTCGAGTTCTCTTTGACGTCCCGAAGAATGTTTTATTGTGTAAAGATTGAATCTTTGAATGAAAATGAGAGTTTTGAGTTAAACTTATTCGAGTTCCCTTTGACGTCCCGAAGAATGTTTTATTGAGTAAAGATTGAATCTTTCAATGAAAATACCTCAATCAAGATACCTAGTGTGTCACAAGACCTTTTTAGTGTATAAAGATTGAATCTTTGAAAGAAAATGAGACTTTTGAGTTAAACTTATTCGAGTTCGCTTTGACGTCCCGAAGAATGTT